TAGTAGCACAAAATAAGACATATATAGTTAAAAATAAAAATTAACAATCTAATTTAAATTAACTGATAGATTTGATTAGAACAACCCAATAATCATAGATCCGATGCTCTAACATTACCATTTCCCGTCTAGAATATCCTCATGCTTTTAATAAACACTGCGGAATAACATCGTGACAAGCACTCTTTTTCACGATTTAACACATCGCGAGCGGATATCATAGTTAATATCATAGTTTTATTTTACCATTTAAGGTTTAATATATTTGTTAATATTTACTTAAAAAATTAATTTTTACGTTTTATACAACATATTCCAGTTTTTTTCATTAATTGAGATTCATAGAAAAGAAAATGGAAATTTTTATACATTTAGAATCTAGTAAAAAATAAGATTTATTAGAGTGAAATAATAACAATGCAATAAAAAAAGAGAAGCATAAACCTAATAAATATTACAGGTACTTTCCACAATACAAAAAATGGAAATCATTTATATAATTTAATAAATAACTCTAAATTTTTCAATATGATCAAACCGCCCACTTATAGTAGAGTAGGAGTTAGAGAATCATCGCAGACATATCTTATGTTCTCTCGTTCGTATTAATTGGTCAAATAAAAGTAAATAAGTTCTATAATTAAGAGGACAATGAAAGATGTCAATATTAAATATGTTATTAAAAACAAAAGTTAAAATTTGGATAATACAAAAGCAAAAAGGTATTCACATCAAATATAAACTTCATTCGCTAAAGCAGAAGAAAATGAAACTAATTTTAAATATTTGAAATAAAAAATAAAAACTATCTTAAAATTCGACTATCTTAATAAAATAGCTTAAAGAATGAATTTACAGTAACAAATAAATTAGTAATACTATTTAGAATGATTTGTGTGTTTTTCATAGGTAAATTTATAACAAAAAATATACTATAAATTATATATGTATAAAGTCTTTTATTAAATCAAGTCTGTATTTTCTAAAACATTCTTCAAATATTTATAAAATCTTTAAAGACGCTTGGTGGTAATCCAAAATGAAGATAATAAAATGAGAACAAAACTTAGTCGACTTCTTAGTGGTTTATCAATGATAAAAATTAAAAAGTGCACACCAATATTCTGTAAAATGTGCAAAAAACATGATGTTATTTATTAAAAAATATATTTATTAAAACTATGTTGTAGTAAAGTCATATTTGGCTTAAATTTTCCATGAAATTTTTGCACAAGGGGATCTTCAACAAATAAGATCTATCTAATAAAATCTATTTTACCATCCTTTTAATAATTAAAAAATTTAAATATAAAATAATAAATCTATTTATTATTTATTTAAAATTTAATATGAACGATCTTTAAAAACTTAATATTAATTTAAAAGTAATTGAAATAATGATAATCTAATAATGATGATAAAAAGTTTTAACGAAATATTAAAAGAATAAAAATATCTGAAAATAATGTCTGCGTCTTGTTAAGATTATCTTCGCGTTCTGCGCTGAGGAGCTGAACAAATGGCAACCGATGCTTCAACCGCTCTGAATAAAATTGAAAAGAATAGAGAAGGAAGAGCCGAAGAACAAGCTAAGGATTTACTTAAAATCGAGAGTGCAATAGCTCGTCTAATTAATAAATAGTACTGCTTATTAACGTCTTCCTCCTCGATAATTGCATTTTTTCAGCAGCGGTGTATGTGCCACAAGTGGACTGGGATTTTGATTTACATTCATAATTATAATTATATAATTTAATTGAATAAGCCATTATAAACTTAGAAAATAATGAAAATTATATTAAAAAAACTTTTAATCTTTTTTAATTTTTAAATTTTTGAATAATTCTTAATTAAAAAAAATTATTATTAATATTTTATATTGATATTTTGCAAAAATGTATTATGAGAGAAATAAGCATAAATATTAGGGTTTCACCGGAACCGTAATTTTGACCGGAACCGGATCCAATTTGAGTTCCGGTTCCCGGAGGCGAAAATTTTGAAAATATGGCGAGGCCAACCAAAGGGAAATTGCAATGCAAACAATGTCCGGAAAATTGGGCTCTGGAAAATTGGGCTCCAAGATTTTTCGGAAAATTGGGCTCCAACTTTTCGGAAAATTGGGCTCCAGCGGAAATTTGGGCTCTAAGTGAAAAAAACGGAAACTTGGGCTCCAATTTTTTAGGCGAGGGAATTGTGGGCGTCGGAGTGAATTTTTGGATTTATTCGAAAAATATAAAAAAAATTTCTAGAATAATTATTTCTGTGCTCATACTTAGTGGATAGGTCGGCATTTCAAAGATGAAAATCGGTAAAAAGGAATAGGTTTTTGTTACTATTGTAGAACTCAGCGACCGTTGACTCCCGCGAGGCGCGTGCCGCAAAATCCAGCGCGAAGCGCGGGATTTTGCACAAGCGCCTCGCCGACGCCCATAGGTTTACGTTGTTTGATTTTGTGTCATTTTTCGGAGAAATCAAAAATTCACTCCGGCGCCCACAATTCCTCGCGCCTAAAAAACTGGAGCCCAATTTTCCGTTTTTTTCACTTAGAGCCCAAATTTCCGCTGGAGCCCAATTTTCCGAAAAGTTGGAGCCCAATTTTTCGAAAAATCTTGGAGACCAATTTTCCAGAGCCCAATTTTCCGGCACTCATGCAAACCCATATTCTTTAAAAAACAAATCCTTAGGGGTGTAAAAATGTTCCGGTTTGGCCAGAACCGATTTGTAAACCGGAGCCGGAACCAATTTGAGTTCCGGAACTGAAACTTCCGGGGAAACCCTAAAAAATATTATAACATGAGTATTGTTGAAAATATGATAATAATACATAAACAGATAATAAAATATTTTACAAATCATTCTAAGATTCCACTAACACTAAACAATGTGTTTAACTTAAATAAAAAGTCGCGCATACATTCTATAATATTGATGTGTATGGGAAAATATAAATTAATGCTTGACCATAAAGAAAAATTTATTTTTTAGCAAAATAAAAAAGTAATGAATCATTAAAATTTTACTTTTATTGTTTCGTCAATTTTTGAATCTTCAGAAAGTAATTTGAAATTCATAAAAGTAAAGAGGATATTGAAAAAATAGTTAAAAATTCTGAATATTTTACCCGCGGGGCTTATCTAACTCATATATTGATCAAGAAGTGTAAATTTCGTCGGAACTAATGGTGAAGGAGTGTTCAGGTTAATTTTTTATGGAGAGTCAAAATCATTTAGCTAATAATTGAGTAAAAAGAGAAATTATAAAAATGACTAAAAAATATTCATTGGAAACAATGTATTCTCCCTTTAAAATTTTTTACACAAAAGAAACAACTAAAATTTATAAAATATTCTTAGAAATTTTCTTAACATCAATTTAAGAAATGAATTTAAAAAATAAATATTCTATAATAAAAAGTTTATATTTTATTTATTTTGTTGAAATCGACTTGTTTGATGTATGTAAAATATTCTTAGTATTTAAATAAATGTGAAAATACCCTCTATTTAATAAAATGATTTAATATAACTTTTTTTAATTCATTTACGAATTTGTGAATAATTAACATAATAAATAATTAACATAATTAATAATTTTATTTAATATGCGAAGAAAATTTAAAAATCTAATTAAAATTTCACTACTATTCTAATTCAATATCCTCAAAAGGGTGAGGGGGAGCATTCGCGGGCAAAAAATTCTTTTAGCATTTATAAAAGAAGCTGATATAGTTGGGGCCATATCTAATAAATATTTAAATATTTTAAAAAAGATAAAATATACGATTTTTATGTTTGCGACTATATTTTATATTTACACAGATCAGAATAATTTAATACTTAGAAGTTTAAAAAGAAATAATATATTAAAGTATCGTCCGCTTGCATTTTCTCAGTTAGTACAACAAATGTATTAGTCCTACTACATATGTAGAACCTCTGAACTGCTGTATACTTAAGTATAATGGAGATAAAAACATATTTCATATAAAAACCAACAATTTATTGAATTTAATCAAATTATTTCCAATATAAGGCAAAAAGGTTAGCAAGCGCGACGAACTCGTCGGGATGAGGTAATATTTGATTTATTCAAATATCTAAATTTTTTAAGGGAACAGGAATTCGTGGTGCGGATGAAGCCAGTGAGAGACTTTTACGTGACCGAATGAGACGTCTAAGCAGTAGCAAAATTTTATATACATATAATTAAATTTTATAAAATTAGATAAATTAAATTTTATATAATAAAGAGATGAGAATTTATCTAAAATTGATACACAATAATAATGTAAGCAGAGAATTTAATATTTTTATTAGAAAATTTCTTGTGCTATATATATATTCACAATTTACGAATTTCATGGACGAATTTAATGGACGAATTTTAAACTTTTGGACATACAAGGATTATTTTGGGAAATGATGAATTTAAAAATAATTTCAATTGGAATTTTAGTCATCATTATCATTTATTTCATATTAAAAATTTTTTTAAAAGTCAACCCAATGTTAAAAATGTATAGATTAATCATTACCAGCTGTTTATTGTTGATAACAAATTTGGGGGCGAGAGGTTTTGGAGAGACACCTCCAAGGTTTGAAAATTTTGTTGAGATGTCAAGTGGGCATTATTTTTGTATAAAAAACTTTAAAATTTTTAAATTTTATTCACTTTTAAAAAATACTTCAAATTTAAAAATATTCATGGCCCCAATTTCCTTTACTCAATTCGCTGCTAATATTTTAAATTGTGATTTAAAAGATGTCTATGGAAGACTATACTTTAGCCGATTGGATCGGTCTACAGTTGCTAATGAAGCAAAAAAGGTAGAAAATAATAATGGAAATATTTATTGTTCTACTAATGAATTTACTTGCCCAAGGGGGGTTATAACTGGATTAGCCGAGTGGATATAGGTTGACGATAATAAAAATTTGGCTGTATATCCGGAACAAATCCCTCCACAATGGTGGAGTGAATTAATTAAAAGAAACCGGATGAATACTCAAAATTTCTTTTATGATGAGGAAGTGTCTAAAACAATTGATATGGGACCAGGGATAGAGTTAGAAAATCCTTTAAGAGGTGTACTTGAGTTTTATCCTTTGGAAGGATTAGAAATAGAAGAATATATTGAGGAAGAGGTCCCAGATATGGATAGATTAAATATAAACATTGAAAATAATAATAATAATATTCAGAATAATTATGGTAGTCAAACATCTGCACGAGCAACTATGGAAGTTGAGGTTAGTAATGGAAGTTTAAAAAATATAAAAATGGATTTTATTCAGGAAAAATTAGTTGTTACTATGGAAGCCAACTCGGATCTTCATTGTTCAAGCAGCGGATCTGAGGTATCCACTGTAGAAGTGAAGGTTAAGGCTAAATTGTTTCGTAGTCCGTTGTTGGGAATTTTTTTCTTATGTTTGGTAGTTGGGACATGGACTCCCGCTATGGCAGCACCAAACAGCAACACCCAACAACACCATTAGGGGACTCCAATCTGGATACGGAGGACCCAGAAGCATTTGAGGAGTTGTGTGATGCGTTTTTGGGCACACACAATTCTTCTAAGCCTCAAGGGGAGGCACAGGAGAATGCAACCAACATATCACAAATGTATTAAATTTTCGATCAATTAATGGACAATTGGGCAACACGTAACCAACACTTACCTACAACATCAACAATAACCAGACCAATACACTTTGTGCCTCAGACAACAATGGCAACACAACAACATCCACTAGCTAATATTCAACGACAAAATGTGGGTGGTCCGATTCGTGCGCGAAGGCAACCCAGACAAAATTCAAATCAGGGTTGTTTCATTTGCCACGCTTCGGATCACTTCGCCAAATATTGTCCAGTAAAACAACCCTGCAACAGCAACACGTTAATGCAGCGGACAACAAATCCCCCCATCAACACACAAAACCAGGACACCCAAACAGCAATGCGAAGCGTTGCAACACAATTAACAAGAATGAGCCAGCAGTGGACAAACATCCCTGCCATTTCAGCATTTTTACTTCAAATGGCACAATTCATTCTTCTGGCATTGGACGCCCCGAGACAACACTAATTGGTGGCCGGGAGTGTTTCCAACAGAAAGAATATGTTTGGAAAAAAATTAAAGGAATATTTGGCGGAGAATAAAATAAATAAAATATATTTTCTATGATTAATAATGTTTTTTACCCACGCAAATTTCCCTTTCAAAACAGCTGATTTTTAATATTTTCTTCACTTGTTTTTGAACAGTCGATTGGAATAAATATTTTTAATTGTGGAAATAATGAGTTAAATATTTTATTAAAATAAGGGGCTTTAGAGAGAATTTTTTACCTTAGAAAATATATAGGAAGGAAAACCTTATAAATAATATTAATATTTTGGTTTTCATATGGCTGTTGGCCCGTAAAATTTTTCAAATTTTACGCCTCCGGCGGTTATAAAGCTAAAATCCGTTCTAAGGACCTCCAAAATTCTCAAAATTCACGCCTGCGGCGCAAAAAAGCAAGAAATTTGGCTTCTTGGCTTCCAAAAATCTCAAAATTTTCGCCTGCGGCGCAAAAAATGGAAGAAATTTGGAGGCTTAATGGAGATAAAGCAGAGGAATATATAGTGGGATTTTATTAGGGGGATTTTATTATGAATATATAGTGGGATTTTATTATATAGTGGGATTTTATTATTCTTATAACTAGGTATTATGCTTCATTTTATAAATATTGCCAGTTTCATTTTTTCAATTGTCCTTAAATTATACAAAGTTATTTTTATTTTCCATTTTTTGACTTCTCTACTTTATATTTTACAATTACTATCAACAAAAGGATTGCATTTTTAAATGTTATCTTTTGTCTGAGTCATGTTATCTTCTAATAGATCAATAATTACACAAATATTTCTGTTTTTGGTATAAAGAACTATAATTAAGTTTAGTAGATAATAATGTCTTAATTTTTATTAATTTCCTATCTATTACCTATCTTAATTACCTATATTAATTACTTATAAATTACATATTATATTAATTACATATCATAAAGTTCAAACGTTTTATAACGTTTTTAATGTTATTTAAATTTTTCAATTACGTCTATGCCACATTTGCATCTTGCGTCAATCCCATCTTGTCTATTATTAAATAAATATTTTATATTACGGATTTAATATTTTTCTGCATAATTATACTATTTTTCTTTCATTTTATAAATAATATGTGAAAATTATGCTTATGCAAAATTGTTTTCAGTTTATTCTGAAATTTTTTAGAAAGTTTGCTTAACCAAATCAGTTAAATTAAAATTTAACCATTATTTTTAATTCATTTATTTGGCGTGACTTTAATATATATTTATTTCTAGAATAAATTTTTGTTATCAAAATTTATTCACAAAAAGATTATATATTATTTACTGAATACTGTTTAGATATGAATTTTTGGTAGTGACAGTCATAATATACAATGATGGAAAATTTTGATATTCCTCGTCAAAAGGGAGAAAAAATTGTGGCATTTATGTATTGTTATATGCTCGTTTTATAATGACCAATAAGGACATTAATTTTACGCAAAGGACGCAAAAGACCGATTAGTCGGTAATATATTAGTTTCATTTTATATTAGTTTTTAATCAAATTTAGAATTATGGGATTTATTATTTTAACATTATTTTTTTCCATTATTTCTTTATTGTTATTATGTTGTTAAATTGACGTGCCGATCTTCTTTTATTAATATTATTGTTATTTGTTGATCATTTTTACTAGTAGATAATTTAATTGTTGAATATTTGTAAAATACCGTTTTATTTAAAATTTTTCAATTATTTTCATTATTTTAGTTTCATTTTTGCAAATCATTATCATTCAATTAAAGTCAAACTAATAAAATATAGATAAAAAACCATGATACTTTATTATTTGATACTTTATTTGCTACTTTATTACATGATAAGCAGAAATCGGAATTAAGTATTGATAATTTATCAAATTAAAAACTATCACTTATTATTCAAATTAATATTTTAAAAAAATAGTTTCATGTTAATGTTTATATTTTATAAAAATATAAAAAAATATATAAAAAAATTTTACTAATAATAATGTGTAATTTCAGCCTAAAAATCTTTATATGTGATTTAATATCCTATATATAATTTTAGAATTGTTGTTTGTCCGCAGCTTTAAATTTTGCTGTGTTTGGCGTTGTGTTTATTTTTTGTATTAAAAATGACAAAATATCCCAAAGTGAAAATAGTGTGTATTTAGAGAAATAAAGAAAGTAATGAGTATTTTTTAGAATTTGTTTTGTTTTTTTCGTTGGAACTTTTTTATTTTTTTTCGTTTGTTAATTGTATTTAAGATGTGTTTTGACTGTTTTGTTGTTTTGTTTGTTAAAATTTGTTTTATTTGGAAATTGTTTTTAGATTGAAAAACAAAGCGATCATTTATTTAACAAAGTTAGTGTCCAACAGTTTGTTTTTCAGTGCTGGTCTTTTATTTAAACAACGCGAGTGTCCAACAGTTTGTTTTATTATGAGGTTTTAATTGGGTGAAATAGGTCTGGTAATGGTTGGTATAATGGTTGTCGAAAAGGTCACAAAAATGGGTGAAAAGAATATGGCGATGGTTGTTATAATGGTAAGCGAAAATGGTCCCGTAACTGGGTGAAACGGTCTGGCAATGGTCGGAAAAACGGTCTGGCAATGGCAATGGTTAGAAGTAACGAAAAAGGTCCCGTAGCTGCGTGAAAAGGGTCTGGAAATGGTTGAAATAATGGTAAGCGAAAACGGTCCTGTAACTGGGTGAAAAGGGTCTGACAATGCTGGGAAGAAACGATTTCGAGCAATAAGCAAGAGAAAAGTGTCCGTGGCTTGAGAAAAGGGTTCGCCAATATACAAGATAAAAGATCCCGTCAATAGGAAAGAGAAATCTAGGACTAACGTCGGCCCGCTAAAGTTTTTAAAATTATAAACAATGTTTAAAATAAAGTTCATGCATATAAAATCAAAAATATTTTATTAAAACATTTTTTATTCTCTAAGTAGAAAGGATAATAATATATCCAGAAGGATAATAATATGATAATAATATAGGATAATAATATATAATAATATATCAACATAAATATTAAATGAAATTATGTTTATAATTTTCAATTGTGATAAAAATATAACGAATGCAATTATGGCTATTTGGAGGGGTAGAAAGCTTAAATTACATAAGCTTAAATTAAAACACCTCTTACATAAAACTCACTCGTCAACTATTAACTTTAATTCAATTATTAACTAATATTTTCAACTTCCAAGTATTAACTATTAATATCTATGTCTACTATTAACTATCAATTTTCAACTATTAACAATGACTTTGACTTTCAACTTCCAACTATAACTTCTCTTTACTATTAACTATCAATTTTCACTATTAACTGATTCCTTAAATTTTCAACTTCCAACTATTAACTATTAATATCTATGTCTACTATTAACTATCAATTTTCAACTATTAAATGTTACAATGATTAAACTATTAACTAAGACTTTCAATTTTGAACTATTAACATCTATGTCTACTATTAACTATAAATTTTCACTATTAACTATTAGGTTTGATTCGACTATTAACTAAGATTTTTAACTTACAATTATCAATATCTATGTCAACTATTAACTATTAATTTTCAACTATTAACTATTAACAGTGATTATACTATTAACTAAAACTTTCAATTTTCAATCAACTATTAATATCTATTTCAACTATTAACTATTAACCTACTTTCAAATATTAATATACAAATATTAACCAACTTTCAAGAATTAATTTACAACTATGAACTATTAACCAACCTTCAAATATTAATTTTGAACTATTACTATCAACTATTAACAACACTAACTATAAGCTATTAACAACCCTTGTCACTTAACCGTTGTCAGACTCTTATATCAGACTCATATATATTAACCGTTGTCAGACTCTTATCTCAGTCATTACCGCTTTTTTCTCACCCATTGTGGGACCGTTTTCTCAAGACTATTGAACGACTATTTTCTCTTTCCTATTGACGGGATCTTTTATCTTGTATATTGGCGAACCCTTTTCTCAAGCCACGGACACTTTTCTCTTGCTTATTGCTCGAAATCGTTTCTTCCCAGCATTGTCAGACCCTTTTCACCCAGTTACAGGACCGTTTTCGCTTACCATTATTTCAACCATTTCCAGACCCTTTTCACGCAGCTACGGGACCTTTTTCGTTACTTCTAACCATTGCCATTGCCAGACCGTTTTTCCGACCATTGCCAGACCGTTTCACCTAGTTACGGGACCATTTTC